GGTTTCACTTATTTGTGGAGCATAACAAATAGCATGGAGGACAAGGGGAGTTAGAGAGAAGGGAGTTGGGGGAAATTGGAAGGGGAGGTGAACCATGAGAGACTATGGACTCTGAAAAACAATCTGAAAGGTTTGAAGGGGCGCAGATTGGGAGGTTTGGGGAACCAGGTGGTGGGTATTAGAGAGGGCACGGATTGCACAGAGCACTGGGTGTGGTGCAAAAACAAGGAATACTGTTATGCTGAAAATTAAAAAATTAATAAATTTAAAAAAAAAGAAGTCCTAGCAGCAGCAATCAGACAACAAAGAGACATAAAAGGTATCCAAATTGGCAATGAAGAAGTCAAACTCTCTCTCTTCGCAGATGATATGATTCTTTATATGGAAAACCCAAAGACTCCACCCCCAAACAACTAGAACTCATACAGCAATTCAGCAACGTGGCAGGATACAAAGTCAATGAACAGAAATCAGTGGCTTTCTTATACACTAACAATGAAAATACAGAAAGGGAAATTAGAGAATTGATTCCATTTTTGTTTCTTTTTAATTTAAATTCAATTAGCAAACACATAATACATTATTAGTTTCAGTGTAGAGATCAGTAATTCATCAGTTGCATGTAACACCCAGTGTTCATCACACCACATGCCTTTCTTAATGCCCATTTCCCAATTACCCATCCACGCATTAACCTCCCCTCCAGCAACTCTCAGTCTGTATCCCATAGTTAATGGTCTCTCATGATCTGTCTCCCTCTCTGATTTCTTCCCATTGTGTTCTCCCTCTCTTCCTTTATGATCCTCTGTGCTGTTTCTTATATTCCTCATATGAGTTAAACCATATGATAGTAGTCTTTCTCTGATTTTGCTCAGCGTCATACCCTCCAGTTCCATCCACATCTATGTAAATGGTAGGTATTCGTCTTTTCTGATGGCTGAGTAATATTCCATTGAACGTATATACCACATCTTCTTAATCCATTCATCTGTTGATGCACATCTCAGCTCTTTCCACAGATTGGCTATTGTGGACATTGCTGCTATAAACATCGGGGTGCAGGTGCTCCTTTGGATCACGACATTTGTATCTTTGTGGTAAATACCCAGTAGTGCGATTGCTGGGTCATAGAGTAGCTCTATTTTCAACTTCTTGAGGAATCCTCCATACTGTTTTCCAGAGTGGCTGGACCAGTTTGCATTCCCACCAACAGTGTAGGAGAGTTCCCCTTTCTCTGCATCTTCAGCAACATTTGTTGTTTCCTTTTTAATTTTAACCATTCTAATAAAGTGAGGTGGTATCCCATTATTTATAAGGAATTTTAAACTATATCACAAATGTTATTTAATGTTACTCTGTAAAAGCATTCAAAGAGGTTTAAACAGGAAGAATGCAAATATGCTGGAAAGGCACATACAAGCATTAAAAGTCTATAGGAAACATATCAAATGTGTTAAAAGTGATTTTCTGGGTGGTAAAATTTGTCATGGTTTCATTATCCTTCTCTGGATTGTTCTAAGCTTTCATCAATAAACACTAACAAATAAAAGGAAATGAATGGGGTTTTTTGTTTTTTAAATTTTTTAAATTTATTTTCAGCGTAACAGTATTCATTGTTTTTGCACCACACCCAGTGCTCCATGCAATCCGTGCCCTCTCCAATACCCACCACCTGGTTCCCCCAACCTCCCACCCCCGCCCCTTCAAAACCCTCAGATTGTTTTTCAGAGTTTTTTAAAAATATGGAATGCTTCACAAATTTGCATGTCATCCTTGCACAGGGGCCATGTTAATCTTCTCTGTATTGTTCCAATTTTCAGTATATGTGCTGCTGAAGCAAGCACTGAAAATGAATGGGTTTTAAAGACTATTTAAAATCTTAATTAATAGTCTTAATCTGAACTACATAGTCTTTTAAAGACTATTTAAATTATTTAAAAGGAATGCAGAAGAAATCAGTTCAGTGGCGGCCTCTGGGGAGGGCCTAGGGCAGAGTTCATGCTGGAAGATTTGATTTCCATTTGCACCATCTGGAGTCTTCTAAGTACCAGGCTGGTATCACCTATTCAAAAATAGTTAAATAAAGATTTTTGCCAAGGAGTCACAGAAGTAAGAATGCTAAAACCACAGAAGCCAAGAGGCGAGCCTGAGGGGAAAGCCTGGAAAGTGCTCTTACCTCCTAGGGGAGATAAGACTTGAGGACTGTCCTGCCCTCTCAGGCCCAGCGCCCGTCAAGTCACCCCAGGGCCCAGATAATCCACACTGACTTAACTCAGCAAGACCTCTCTGTCTGACCTGAAACTGCTCAGGAGTTGGGTCAGGGTTTTTCCCAGGAATGAAGACAGACCAGACAGGGGAGAGACTTCAGTGGACATCAGGGCAGGACCTCTGACTAGGACCCTGTGTTCCCTGGGGCTGGGAGAGTTGGACCCAAACCATGAGCAATGAATGGGTGAAGCTTCTCCCCAACCCCCCAATTACCTTCTATGAGTTAGGAACTTTTCTAGCATCACCAGCAGCTTTTGCTTCAGGTCCTCACTGCCCATGACCAGTGTGGTCAGCTGCACAGTCTCCATCCAGTCCAGGTGGTTGAGGATGGAGGAGGCTTCATTATAGAGCTTTTGCTTCTTATCAGACGGAAGCTCCATTATGATCTGATGTACTGGCTTCAAGTGCCCTCTTATCATCCATGCACTTAGTAGACTCCCTACAAGCCCCCCTAGAAAACAAGGAAGGTCCAATTAGTTGGTCCTTATTCAAAAATGATGACCTCAGGCTCTTCCTGGGAGCACATCCACCACCATGATTAGTGGGCACACAATGATCTTTGGTTTGTGGGGTGGAGCAGGGGACAAGGGTTTCTGGGGTCCTTGTTCCATTTGGCTCAGATAACTGACACCTATACATGCCCTTCCCTAAGTTGTACACTCACAGACGCAGCACAAATCATCTCCCACCACACAGCTCTGCTAACTGAAATCTTCTCCAGGGCCTGCAGGTTTCCTGCTTCCCACAAAACACTCTTATCTTAAAGGAGAGAGCTGAGAAGCCAGTGCATTTGCAAGGAGAATCATCTCAGTGGTGAGGCTGAGTTTTCTCCATCGAGTGTCTAATATGCTCTTTGCCCCTGAGCTTGGGAAATGTCCAGTGAAATCCCATGGCTAAAGGACCCTGGGGAAAGAGAAGGAGACCTTTATTCTGGAAGCAAGCACTTGAGAGTTCTATGATCATGAATATCAAATATAACTTACTCAAGTATTTCTCTTCTTGTGACCCCAAAATGGCATAACCATTATTTTTAAACATAAATTTATGATCAAATTTAAGGTGTATGTTTTTTTGGGACTTGAGGACCTTATGTCAACAGAAAGTTCTATCTGATCAGGTGGGGGCAGATCTAAGGAAGGTGCCCTGGGGCAGGGGTCTCAAACTCAGGTGCTCTCCGGGGGCAGGCAGGTAGCTGAGAGGAGTGAAGAGGGCTGAGTGAGCCTGTGGGTGATGAAGAACCAGGTCCATGTCTAAGGGACGGGGGCTACCCCTCACCAGCCCACTGCTACCACATGGAATCCCACATGTGTATCCTGAAAAAAGTACCATGATTATTAAATATTGGTCATCAGATATTAATAGATGCAGCCCAGCTGGACTTAGTGACTCTCTCTAAAAAAGCAGAGCATGGAAAGGGGAGACAGTGACTCCATAGCGGACAAACCGGCAAACACCACCTTAACCAGTCGATCAAGGTGGACACAGTCAGGGAGGCTGTGGATGTCACATGTCCCTGAAATGGCGCTATGAGACAGGCACTCCACCTCTGTCTGTGGTATGCTTTCCCAAGGTCCACAACCCTCGGCTAAGCATGAGCAACCATCAGGCCGACCCAAATGGAAAGTCATTCTATAAATACCTGCCCAGTACTCCTCAACAGTACCCAGGCCATGAACGCAGCAAAGTCCGAGCAACTGTCACAGAGCTGGGGAGACGAAGTAAGGAGATGTGAGGATTAAATGCACTGTGATGTCATGAGCTGAATTCTGGGACAGGAAAAGATCTTTTTGTTTTTTAATTTATTTTATTGTAATTTCTTTTCAGCATAACAGTATTTCTTGTTTTTGCACCACACCCAGTGCTCCATGCAATCCGTGCCCTCTCTAATACCCGCCACCTGGTTCCCCCAACCTCCCACCCCCCGCCCCTTCAAAATACTCAGACTGTTTTACAGAGCTCATAGTCTCTCATGGTTCACCTCACCTTCCAATTTCCCTCAACTCCCTTCTCCTCTCCATCTCCCCTTGTCCTCCATGTTATTTGTTATGCTCCACAAATAAGTAAAACCATATGATTTCTTCCAGTCCTGCCCATGTTGCTACAAAAGTTGGGTATTCATCCTTTCTGATGGAGGCATAATACTCCATAGTGTATATGGACCACATCTTCCTTATCCATTTGTCCTCTGAAGGGCATCTTGGTTCTTTCCACAGTTTGGTGACAGTGGCCATTGCGGCTATGAACACTCAGGTACAGATGGCCCTTCTTTTCACTCCATCTGTATCTTTGGGGTAAATACCCAGTAGTGCAATGGCAGGGTCATAGGGAAGCTCTCTTTTTAATTTCTTGAGGAATCTCCACACTGTTTTCCAAAGTGGCTGCACCAATTTGCATTCCCACCAACAGTGGAAGAGGGTTCCCCTTTCTCCACATCCTCTCCAACACACGTTGTTTCCTGTCTTACTAATTTTGGCCATTCTAAGTGGTGTAAGGTGGTATCTCAATGTGGTTTTAATTTGAATCTCCCTGATGGCTAGTGATGATGAACATTTTTTCATGTGTCTGATAGCCATTTGTATGTCTTCATTGGAGAAGTGTCTGTTCATATCTTCTGCCCATTTTTTGATATGATTATATGTTTTGTGTGTGTTGAGTTTGAGGAGCTCTTTATAGAGCCTGGATATCAACCTTTTGTCTGTATTGTCATTTGCAAATATCTTCTCCCATACCCAAAGAGGGTTGCCTCTTTGTTTTGTTGACTGTTTCCTTTGCTGTGCAGAAGCTTTTGATCTTGATGAAGTCCCAAAATTTCATTTTAGCTTTTGTTCCCTTTGCCTTTGGAGACATATCTTGCAAAAAGTTGCTGTGGCTGATATCGAAGAGGTTACTGCCTATGTTCTCCTCTAGGATTCTGATGGATTCCTGTCTCACGTTGAGGTATTTTATCCATTTTAGTTTATCTTTGTGTACGGTGTAAGAGAATGGTCGAGTTTCATTCTTCTGCATATAGCTGTCCAATTTTCCCAGCACCATTTATTGAAGAGACTTTCTTTTTTCCACTGTATATTTTTTCCTGTTTTGTCAAAGATTAGATGACCATAAAGTTGAGGGTCCATATCTGGGCTCTCTACTCTGTTCCACTGGTCTATGTGTCTGTTTTTATGCCCGTACCATGCTGTTTTGGTGATCACAGATTTGTGTGAAGCTTGAAATCCGATAACGTGATGCCCCCAGTTTCATTTTTGTTTTTCAACATTTCCTTAGGGATTCGGGGTCTCTTCTGATTCCATACAAATTTTTGGATTATTTGCTCCAGCTCTTTGAAGAATACCAGTGGAATTTTGATTGGAAAGGAATTAAAAGTATAGATTGCTCTAGGCAGTATGGACATTTTAACAATGTTTATTCTTCCGATCCAAGAGCATGGAATGGTCTTCGATCATTTTGTGTCTTCTTCAATTTCTTTCATGAGTGTTCTGTAGTTCCTTGAGTACAGATCCTTTACCTCTTTGGTTGGGTTTATTCCCAGGTATCTTATGGTTCTTGGTGCTATAGTACATTAAAAAGATTATCCACCATGACAAGGTGGGATTCATCCCTGGGCTACAAGGATGGTTCAACATTTGCAAATCAATCAATGTGATAGAACAAATTAATAAGAGAAGAGAGAAGAACCACATGGTCCTCTCAATTGATGCAGAAAAAGCATTTGACAAAATCCAGCATTCATTCCTGATCAAAACGCTTCAAAGTATAGGGATACAGGGGACATTCCTGAAAGACCCACAGCAAATATTCTCAATGGGAAAAACCTTGCAGCCTTCCTGCTGAGATCAGGAACACGACAAGGATGCCCACTCTCACCACTCTTGTTCAACATAGTATTAGAAGTCCTAGCAACAGCAATCAGACAACAAAGAGAAATATAAGGTATCCTAATTGGCAATGAAGAAGTCAAACTCTCTCTCTTCGCAGATGACATGATTCTTTATATAGAAAACCCAAAAGGCTCCACCCCCAAACTACTAGAACTCATTCAGCAATTCAGTAACATGGCAGGATACAAAGTCAATGTACAGAAATCAGTGGCTTTCTTATACACTAACAATGAAAATACAGAAATGAAATTAGAGAATCGATTCCATTTACTATAGCAGTATTTGATTTAGAACAACACTTCATGCAAAAGGTCACCAGGAGTATTGACTACATATTATTAATTCCTTGGACAAGAGAAAATTCCTTGGTTTTCTGGGTAAAATAATGCTCCACCCATGACTAGTGGCTTCAAGGAGCAAATCTCCCAGGTTCTCCTGGCAGACATCCTGTTTTCTACCAGCTTTGACAGAATCCAAATAAGATATGTGCTCCCACAATGGCATCTGGGAACAGCTATAGGATAAATGATCCCATCAAGCCCCCCCCTGAGTGCATTAGGTGGGGGTGGGGGACAAAGATGTAGAATGTCACTGAGGAAGGAGGCCATGGCCATGTCTCCTCCCCAACTGGCTGCACCTTGGATGGTGAGAGACTGAAGTCAGGACTCCCTAATTCACACGTGGGGAAGGGAAATGTACAGGTGGAAGGTCTGGGGCCACCCACACACTGATTTATTCCCCAGTGTGATCTCTGCATCATGAAACGTCCTTGAATGCCAATCCTGCAACAGAGAGGCAGAACAGGGGAGGAAATGATGCCAGGAGCTAGAAACAGAAGCCAACCTGGGCAGACAGTCAGTCACCTCTCCAGCCTGTGCTCAAGGGAGGACTGCAGGCAGTGCTGTGAGCTCTCCCATGTCCCCAGCACAGGCTGCCTGGCACAGAGCAGGCAGTCAGTGATGTATCTGCTGAGCCCAATGCAACAGACCATGCCTTTGCCATTTCCCTGTGCTGCAGGGTCCATCTGAGGCACCTCACGGGAAGTGTAATCCAGCCCCTCCTCATGTCAGTCCCACACAGCAGCCCGCTCTCTGATGCCACCTGGCCCAAGGTGAAGAAAAAAAGAGTCCTTCTACTTCTAAGACAAAGTAGACAACCCTATCCTAGCTCCAAGAAATGATGGGGAAATCAGCCAAACTTCCTTTCATAGCAAAAAACTGTCTCTAAAGTAGAAGCAGGTGCCAAAAGCAGGGGACAAGGATGACCACCCTCGAACAGTTCGTTGCACTTTCTGAATTAGATTGTTGGTTTCAGAATGGGGTGGTCTCTGTGAATGAGCTCGTGGCTAGACAGCATCTGCTCCTAGGAGGTGCTCAGCAAATCCCAGCTTCCTCCCTGGTTCCCTTCTGCAGTGACATGTAATGGTTACAAGGGAAGGAGACCATCCAAGGGACCCAGGACACCCTGATATCTTCAGAGGCCCAGACACATCCCTGAGGGGAGAGGCACCCTCCAGGTCTGCATGACTCATATGTCATTTGCAAGAATGTCCTGCGTTTCTGAGACCATCACACTCAGAAGCCTGTGTTTTCAATAGGATGAATTAGGGCCACAAAGATCAAGTCACAGAAGCAACCTCAACTCGACAAACATCTCCCACAGGACAGGGACTTCTGTGAGGTCTCTGAGGTAACAAAGACCTTTTTTACAACACCCCTGACGCTGGCTGCCCCTGCAGGAAGCTTACACTTACCAACAGCTAGTCCAGGTGGGCCTCCGACCAGACCACCAACGAAGGTCACAGTTCCTGTGAACAGGGCGCCCAACCCAGAATACTTGACAGCTGCCATCATATTCTTCTCTTTAGCAATGATGCAGAGCAACCTCATGATGTCTTTCACCCTGAAGGGCATCTTGGTGAGCCTCAAAGGAAGCATTTCAAAGGGAAACTTTTAACGAGTGTCAGAGTATTTGCAACCAAATGTCACTCTTGCTAGAGTTTGGAGGACAGTCTCATGCAGAGAACAGGAGCTCTGCTGTATGTGGAACCAACAGCACCCAGCAATGTGATGGGTTCCTTGTCACAGAGGAAGTCGGGGACCCGCTAGTTAATATGCACACAGAACCCGCAGAATGCATGAGAGGTCTTCTTTGCCCTCTGCGTAACTTCTCATTTATGGCAGATTATGGAACAGGTCCAGCCAGAAGCGGTATCTATTCATCACAAGTGAGGCAAGCGTGCCCTCTCTTGTGCCTGTGGCCTTCCTGCTGGCTCAGGCACCCCCAGTGCGCAAAGCCTAGCAGAGGGCAGAATGTCCCAGCCTCGAGTCCTCTGTTGTGTGACAGGGCAATGGAGCTCATGCCAAGCCCAAGAAGGGGAAAGTACTGGGCTCCGTGATCACCCTGGCCTGTGCCCACACCTGCCCCGTGTCCCTGAGCCGAGTGTCAGACTCCTCACCTGTAAAGGGAGATAAGCCACCTACAAGCTGGATTCTGGAAAGGTCTGAATGGAATGGATGCAAAGTACCTGTTGTGAGCCTGGAACACACGGCCCTGAGACCTGATGGCTCTAAATGAATGTTCTGTTACTGATACACACCACTGGCTTTTCTGTAAGCAACCGCTCCTAACACCCATCCAGTTCTGCACGGGGGATAGTAAAGGCAGGGACAGGATGACCCTAAGGATGACCAGCAAGATGGAACAACCAGAGAATAAAATAAACCAAAGAATTCCAGAGGTTTGCATGTGTTTGGATAGACAGACAAGTGGACCTTTGGAACAATGATGTTAGAACAGTTCTCTGTGCTCAGGAAAATGTTTGCCACACTGGTGAGAAATTGGCAGGCACACAGGGCAAGCAGAGGGTGGGCTCTGCCCCAGGTTTAGTGGGAACCAAGAGCCACAACACTGACAGGGCTCAGAAGTAAAATCAAAGTGGCCACAAGCAGGTGCTTTTCTTGAGTTCAGCTGGACCCAAAGCTCGAAGGGTACTTTCTTTCTTTCTTTTTTTTTTTTTTTTTTTGTTAAGATTTATTTATTTGACATAGAGAGATCACAAGTCTGCTGGATCACTACAGTCGGGGTTCAGAAAGTCTCTGAGTCCTAGGAGAGGTAAGAAGTGTCCTGGGCTCTGGCCCCTGCCATATTCTGAGTCAGTGATTCTCCACAAGCATACCCCACTTTGGACAGCAAGAGTGTAAGAGACCATGACCCAGACACCTGACATTGACTACATAGTCCTTGAGTTCAGAAAGTGCAAACAGGCATCCCTTAAAAGTGTCTGTTTGACCAAGTGGGGTGTAGAGGCCATGGGGGGGCAGGCCTGCAGGGGTGTTCAAGAAACTGGAGAAGAAGTCAGGAGTCCCTGCCCCAGCTCTGGCACCATGTGTCCTGGACCTACCAGCACACCTCCGAGCTTCCTGCCCCTTTGCTCACTACTGCAACCCCTTATAGACAGAGTCTATGCCACCTCCTCCACCCTGGAAGACAGCCCACGTGAGGGTCATGACTTGTCCACACACAAAGGTCACAATAATAAAATAGCCTTATAATAGCAAAGGGACTGCACATGGGAGAAGTCACTGAGAAATGAGGGGATAGTGGTGTGACTAGATTTACCCAAATATGAGGTATATATACTGGCATATAAGGTATATAAAGGAGTTTTATTTTAAATACTTATTTATTTCAAGTATTGATAATCAAAGGAATTAATTTTATGGTAAAACTTTTCTAAAGCTAATAGTCCTTCTGTAAAAAAATCTAATCATCATGTAGTTTACATCTGGTTTATATATAGCTTTCTATCTGCCTGTTCTGCTGGGGAAAAGGGAGATGAAGCTCGGACCTGGGAAGGCCCCTTGGGAGCTGCAGTGAGCTTCCCATTTCCAGGCACACGAAGATACCAAGCATGGTCTGCAAGGCTGGCTTCCTGGCCAGGGCACTCTGCCTAGACACCACTCCTAAAACAGAGTTTCTGCAGGATTATGGACCTGCACTCTGGAAACACTTTCTGCAGGGCAAGAAAATGCATGGCAAGGAACAGGAAACAGCCATTTCACACTCTATTGTCCATCAAAAACCTAGCTTCCCACTTGCTTTGAATGACTTCATATAAACCCACATGGGCTAATGAGGCATCATCATGCAGACTACTCCCAACCTCCACTCAGCCCAGGCAGACCAGCACAAAGCCCAGGGCTTTGCAAACTGGAGGGCTGGCAGGTGTGTCTGTGTTTGGGAGGACAGGGGAGGAAGTGATCCACCTCTTTCTGGGTTTAATAGTCCACACCAGAGATGGAAGAAAAAGTTGGTTTGATTTCCTTGCAGGAATCTTTTTAGAAGTTAGAGCATCAATAGACTCCTGTGGATAAACATTTGGTTTTTCTTTTCTTTTTCTTTTTCTTTTTTTTTTTTGTTGTTCTTGTTTTTGTTTATGAGTGCATTTTATATTATATTATTTTTAATTTTTTATTTAAATTCAATTTAGCTAACATATACTGTATTATTAGTTTCAGGGATAGAATTTAGTGATTCACCAGTTGGATATAACACCTAGTGCTCACTACATCAAGTGCCCTCCTTAATGCGCATCACCCAATTACCCCATCCCCCTCATCTTCCCTCCAGCAACACTCAATTTGCTTCCTATTGTTAAGAGTCTTTTATGGTTTGTCTCTCTGTCTGATTTCATCTTATTTTATTTTTCCTTCCCTTCCCCATGTTCATCTGTTTTGTTTCTTAAATTCCACATATGAATGAAGTAATTTGGTATTTATTTTTCTCTGACTGACTTATTTCGCTAAGCACCCTCTAATTCCATTCATAATATTGCAAATGGCAAGATTTCATTGTTTTGATGGCTAAGTAATATTCCATTGCATGTATATACCACATCTTCTTAGTCATTCTTCCATCAATGGACATATGAGCTCTCTCCATAGTTGGCTATTGTGTACACTGCTGCTATAAACATTGGGGTGCATATGCCCCTTTGAATCACTATGTTGGTATCCTTTGGATAATACCTAATACTGCAATTGCTATGTCATAGGGTAGCTCTCTTTTTAACTTCTTGAGGAACCTCCATACTGTTTCATAGAGTGGGTGTAATAGCTTGCATACCACCAACAATATAAGAGGGTTCTTTTCTCTCAGAATCCTCACTAACATTTGTTGTTTCCTGAGTTGTTAATTTTAGCCATTCTAACAGGTGTGAGGTGGTATTTCATTTTGATTTGGATTTGTATTTCCCTGATACCAAGTGATGTGGAGCATTTTTTTCATTTGTCTGTCGGCCATTTGCATGTCTTTGGAGAAATGTCTGTTCATGTCTCCTGCCCACTTCTTAATTGGATTTTGGGGGGTGGGGTTGAGTGTTGAATTTGAGAATTTCTTTATATATTTTGGATACTAGCTCTTTATCCAATAAGACTTTTGTAAATACCTTCTCCTATTCTGTGGGTTGTCTTTTAGTTTTGCTGACTCTTTCCTTTGCTGTGCACACACTTTTCATCTTGAAGAAAACCCAAAGACATCTTGAAGAAAACTTCAAAGACATGCCTGTCGCCGAGGTCAAAGAGGTTTCTGTCTGTGTTCTCCAGGATTTTGATGGATTCCCGTCTCACGTTGAGGCCTTTCATCCATTTTGAGTTTACCTTTGGGTATGGTGTAAGGACATTGTCCAGTTTCATTGCTCTGTATGTGGCTGTTCAGGTTTTCCAAGAACATTTGTTGAAGAGACTCTTTTTCCCATTGGATATTCTTTCCTGCTTTGTTGAAGATTAGTTGACCATAGAGATGAGGGTCCATTTCTGGGTTCTCTATTCTATTCCATTGATCTATGTGTCTATTTTTGTGCCAGTGCCATATTGTCTTGGTGATTAAAGCTTTGTAATACAGATTAAAGTCTGGAGTTGTGATCCTCCACCTTTGATTTTCTTTTTCAACATTCCTCTGGCTTTCAGTCTTTTCTGTTTCCATATAAATTTTAGGATTGTTTGTTCCAGCTCTCTGAAAAATGCTGATGATATTTTTTTTAATTAATTTTGTCTTATTTTTCTTTATTTATTTTCAGTGTAACAGAATTCATTGTTTATGCACCACACCCAGTTCTCCATGCAATACGTGCCCTCTCCAATACCCACCAACTGGCTCCCCCAACCTCCCACCCCCGTCCCTTCAAAACCCTCAGATTGTTTTTCAGAGTCCATAGTCTCTCATGGTTCACCTCCCCTTCCAATTTCCCTCAACTCCCTTCTCCTCTCCAACTCCCCATGTCCTCCATGTTATCTGTTATGCTCCACAAATAAGTGAAACCATATGATAATTGACCCTCTCTGCTTGATTTATTTCACTCAGCATAATCTCTTCCAGTCCCGTCCATGTTGATACAAAGTTGGGTATTCATCCTTTCTGATGGAGGCATAATACTCCATAGTGTATATGGGCCACATCTTCCTTATCCATTCGTCCGTTGAAGGGCATCTTGGTTCTTCCCACAGTTTGGCGACCGTGGCCATTGCTGCTACAAACATTGGGGTACAGATGGCCCTTCTTTTCACTACATCTGTATCTTTGGGATAAATACCCAGTAGTGCAATGGCAGGTCATAGGGAAGCTGTAGTTTTAATTTCTTGAGGAATCTCCACACTGTTCTCCAAAGTGGCTGCACCAATTTGCATTCCCACCAACAGTGGAAGAGGGTTCCCCTTTCTCCACATCCTCTCCAACACACGTTGTTTCCTGTCTTGTTAATTTTGGCCATTCTAAGTGGTGTAAGGTGGTATCTCAATGTGGTTTTTAATTTGAATCTCCCTGATGGTTAGTGATGATGAACATTTTTTCATGTGTTTGAGAGCCATTTGTATGTCTTCATTGGAGAAGTGTCTGTTCATGTCTTCTGCACATTTTTTGACATGATTATCTGTTTTGT